CTCTCTCTCTCTCTCTCTCTCTCTCTCTCTCTCTCTCTCTCTCTCTCTCTCCCTCTCTCTATCTATCTATCTATCTCTATCTATCTCTCTATCTATCCCTATCTCTCTCTCTGTCTCTCGCTCTTTCTCTCTTTATTTCTCTTTCTTTCTCTCTCTCTCTCTCTCTCTCTCTCTCTCTCTCTCTCTCTTTCTCTTCTTCTGACAAACACACAGACACACAAACACACGAACATACACATGCACATATAAACACAAAACCACGGCTGAACGAAGATACAGCTGTCTGAACAATATCGACACCAAAAAAGAATACATGAAGGAAGCCTCAACCAACTAATCCTTCCTTAACAGTCAGCTCTGAGAGTCCTAGCACAACTCGTGTACGACACTGAAAGTATGCTGATTGCAACAAAGGCAAGTCAATAGATTGTGACGGTCAAGAAACACTGTAAGAACTTTATGTTCGTTGTCACCGACAGAGAGACAGACTGACAGCGGGGGAATGAGAGATACAAAAAATAGAGAGACAGATAGAGAAAATGATATATACAGAGAGAGAGAGAGAGAGAGAGAGAGAGAGAGAGAGAGAGAGAGAGAGAGAGAGAGAGGGGGGGGGGGGACCAACTTCAGCGGAAAGAAAGAGACACAAAGACAACAACAAAAAACAATAGAGGGATAGAGAAAGACCTAGGGAACTGAGAGAGAGAGAGAGAGAGAGAAGAGAGAGAGAGAGAGAGAGAGAGGGGGGGGATTGGCTCTCTTAATCCTGTAGACAAACAGCCAAACACAGACTTGATATCCCGTGCCAAATTTCGGTGAGGTATCGATCCCTTTGAACCGCATAACTAAGCCACACAGGCCGTCATTACGAATATCTATCTGGGTAAAGGACGGGGTTCAGTGAACTTTTAAGGCGGTTTATTCAGAAACATTCCAATTGAGGTTACATTATCACCCGTCTTTAGTTTTAACACTTACAGAACCGAAGGTTCTTATAGTGAAAAACCCTTAAGTACCACACCAGTTTAGAAAGCTGAAGCAGTGGTAGAATTTTTTTAATTAATAAAACCTTGGCAGCATATTCAGAAACAAGTTTGAAAAATTCATAGAGATTCATCAACTATTCAGCAATCAAATAGAGTGATTTCCTTTGGTAGTAACCTCAGTGCAGTGCGACCATTCGTTGTTTAATTATGTTTAGTGTGTCTGGTTGCGTCGGCGACTAAAGTCGCCAGCGGCAGTGAGCGCATAATATGGCCTGGCGACTAAAGTCGTGCAAATATTCGCATAGGTCACGACGCCTCGTTCGTCAGTTATTGTTATCAATACGGAATGGATGGGCGTTCTTCGATTCCCCAACGAAACATTTTGAACTATGGTAGATTTTAAGGCTCTTCATGTATGTGACTGTCATATTGTAGATGAAGTAACTCTTTAGTTTTAATAAGAGTTTTACGGGACTTGCAGCACAATAAGGTCATGACGAAGATTAGAGGTGTTACAAGAGAGTAACAAACTCCAAAAAAAAGAAGGTTAAGAGATCAGGGCGATAAATGTTTGATAGGAAAAAAGGAGCAAACCCTACCAGAGCACCCCCTCCCCCCCAAATCACCCAGGGAGTAACTCTATAAATTAACAGTCAAAACAGAAGCACGAGGGGAAAAGGCTGAGGCAAGGACCTGTGAAAACGTTCCTCTTCCTACCCATTCCCTTCCTCCCCCCTGAGGGCTGGCTTTCGTTAATCCAAGCATTTATTCCAGAACGACTTCCGCCTCATGCGAGGTGTTATTGCATTTGTTCTGCACAATGCGCACATACGTTGATCCCTTACCTTCAAGCCAGTGTGGATTAAAGCAGTATAAGCAATTATGCGTGAAACTATTAGTATTATCACTAATCTGGTAATTTATAGTCATAGGCTGAGATGAGAACGTACACTGCCGACCTTGTCGGGTATGCTGGTTTTCATAAAGAGCTGACCAACGTCTATGGTGTAGCGCTATACTGGTTGAGCACTCAACTTTTTCGAGCAGAAGACTCGAGTTCGATTTCCGTATTGGGATAATTTTATCGAGTATCTATGCCTTTCTGCTGGGACACTGTATCCCTCACAGCCTAGGCTGGCCCGGACAGGCAGGGTCCAAGTCCACCTCCTGAATGATCTAAATTGTGTCGATGGGGGAGTCAAATAACTGCTACATATAACAATGAAGAGGTGGCATATGTAAATCGCTCTGTGGCTTTCTCAGAACAAATACTTAAATCAAATTCAAGTGAAGCATACACGAAAATAAAGATATCACATATCTATTTTTAAGAATTGGAAAAGGGAAAAGCATTTCCACCTCTAGTCATCCTTTGGCAACCAACTGAATGAAATGCTACACAGCATTAACATGTAGTTATAGGCCTTCGTAGTCTGTGACTTAACGGGGTACGAGTGGTGTTATAGATACCATACAACGTCCTAAACACACCATCGTTTACGTTACATTGGTGGGTTTTTCTTTCTTCTTTTCTAGCATGATTCGAGTCAATCCAAATGTGGTCACTCAGAGAATGCACGTACTAGGTTAAAGAAGTTCCAGAGGCAGGGCCAAAGTTTACTTTTACCAAGATACGAGTATATGTATAGATTTAATAATTTTGTTTTACTCAGCGCTTTTGTTTTCAAGAGGTTTTCTTGTTATTTGTTGTTGTTGTTGTTTGTTTTTGGGTTTTTTCTTCCCTGCCTCAAATTGTATGAGAACCCGATTTGACTTTTTTTTTAAATAGGTAACTTTCTAACCCTACC